ATGCAGAGAGAACTCCAAACCTCAAAAACAAATCTCTTGGTAGTTGGACTTCCTCCTAAATAAAATGTTTTCAACTTTCAGAGAATGTGCTTCGCCTACAATGAAAACGCAAACATCAACCAGAGACGAGGTGCAATAGAATCAAACTAATGACTATCTTGGCTTCTCAATCCACAGCTATAATAATTTCAGATTAGCATTGAATAGTCATCAGCTCCTCTGATAGAAAAGGAGGAGCACCAGAAATTATAAACAGTATGCAGTACCGTAACTTTGCTTAAACCACATGGTGAAATGTACATGAAAAGATGCTAAGGTAATTAACTCTGCTCAAGATCTCCTATTTATTCTTACAAGACGGTAAAATAAATAAATAAATAAATTTGCTAAAGTAATTGTGGTCTGATTAATATTCATGAAATTCTCAAGGATTATAGCCAGATGAACAATTATACATACACTCAAAAAGTCAACACCCATTTCAACACCCAAAGCTAAAATGAAGAGGGGTAAATTTATAATTTTACTGTTCATAAACTTTGGGTGTTGAGATGAGTGTTGATTTTTTGAGTATATGTATAATTGTCCTAGCCAGACACATTCTAGGGTGATAATTAAAATGATACTGAGGAGTGAATGTAATTATGAATTTAAGGCTTACCAGGCCGCATAGGATTGTTGAAGTAAAGTTTTTTGCTAGCAGTATCTATGACAGACAAAAACCAGGAAAAAAAAAGCGATAAACAACACTAACCTTAAAAATCATACTATATAACTTGTACCATGAATGATCAAAGCAAGCATAAAGAATAATAATGAAAAATGGAAAAAAAATAAGATAGTGATCACAAGGAGACTGAGATTCTGAGAACCACCCAGAAACAACAGTAGAATGGCATTTTGTGTCAACCTCAGGGACTGAAGCCCTAGCCTTCAAGCAACAAGAAGGAATAGCCTTCTCAGAATCATGCCCGTCACTCGCCTTCGCAACCATAATCTTCTGGCATTCCAAATCTTTTCCTACGCCGTCCTCCATATATTTTCCTTTTCTTCTCCAGCTCCAGCCTCTACATGAAAACAGACCACATGTAAGGAACGCTAACAAAGAAGAGAATCTTTAATTAATGACTATTTTTAAATTTTCCTTTTTTTTTTTTAAGAAGCCAAAAAATTGTAGATCATGCATAGGTTGCTTCAAGTTCACACATTCATCTACTATCATAAACTAATGCTAAAGAAAACTTTCTAATGGTATAAGGCAAAAGGTTTTAAAAAACCGGGGAAGTACAACACTTGGATGAAAAAAAGCAGAAGATTATTTTAATGTCTTTGCCGACTGTTCATGATGAATGTCCAACAACAGAAAGATGATGAATCTATAAAGATGATAATAAATAGGAAGTTGAGAATATAAATTAAGGGAAAAACGAGAATTAAGATTGTCTTGACAAAATGTCAGATTGTCTAATTATACTTGTTAAATATGTGACATATAGTGTAAATTTTAATTTTATTAGATTTATCATTCGAATTAGTATTAGATGTCAAGGTATTTCCCTTTTCCAAAAAAAAAAAAAAACCATTCGGACTGAGTTCATAGCCTTTAAAAAGGTCTATTTTATTAGTAAAACCATCATCAGAAGCACAAAGTTTCACTAATTCTGGAACACATTACTTATTATCAAGGAAGTCAATTAGTACGATCAAATTAATAACATAAAAATCAGATAATAATCGAACAAAAACGGCGGAGATTGGTTCGAATCAGAAGGATTTACACCACCTGCCTTAATCAGTGGGAAATTAAAACTCGATCTGGAGCCAAAATGAAAAAAGAAACTACCGAAATTAAACAGAATATATCTTTCACTTTAATACCAAATTCATTTCCATCACGAACATATTCTCAAAAAAGGATGCTACTGCTAGAAATTATTAAAGTAAAAAATTTCAAGCAATTAGTACAATAGCGAAAAATAGATAAATTTCTACACAAGAATTCCGAAAATCCGTTTGGTTCCTCAGAAAATTAATAATTAATCTCTATTCACAGAATTATGGCATCAAGATAATTTTAGTTTCCCGTTTCATTCTAAAACGAAAAGAAAATAATTTCCGCCAGAAATTTTCTTGGAAAGTAATGGTTTAAAAAAAAATAAATAAATAAATAAAGGGCGAATCTAGAAAGCAGAGAAGTTCCTAATCTGACAGCAACACATTATGAAATTTAAAATCTCCACCTTTAAAAGAAAAGGGAAAAGGAAGAGAAGATTTTACGCTGTTGAGTCTGAGTAATCTGCAGAGTACGAAGTGCGAACACAGACAGAGCGGGAATAGGAAATAAATACTGAAAAATTAAGAAGCTCGGTGTTTTGTAGAAACCAGACTGCAAAAAATAAGGTTTTGTTTGTCTGTGTTTTACTGTGTTGTTGGGGTAAGGGTTTTTTTTTTTTTTTTATCTTTTACTATTCAAAAATATACTCCATGATCCGGAGCTCCTTCCTAATCTTAGTTGTAAGACCCAGAAGCAATGCAAATGGAGTTCTACCACGCAGAGGGGTAGAACCAGATCAGGGTTTTGCTATCGAATCCAGATTAGTCTCCAGCCGAAAAATGAAGGGGAAACAGAGGGTAGGAGGGATGGGAGAGAACGGAGGAAGAGGAAGCCTGTCGATGCCAGAGAAGGGGAAAGATCACCGCTACTAGAGTAGGGAGGTGAGGAGGAAGAGAAGATCCACAGGATGGAGTAAGAGCATATTTTGTGTGAAATTTATAATTACTTTAGTCTTTTTGTAATTTTATAAATATAAATTTTTTACTTAAA